TTAACACTTCTGTTAACGTCTACAATATTTGTTAACAGCGAACACATTTATTAACGCGAAGCGTAAAAATAATTGTTAACAACTAACACTTCTGTTAACGTCTACAATATTTGTTAACCGCTAACACGACGTCGAATCTAAAACCCAGAAAATTGATATCATCAAAAAATTGAGGATTCAAAGCCACTTATGAAAAAAAATAATGAAATTTAAAATTTAATTGTATATAGAATGATAGAGATTTGTAAAATAATTAGGGATTAGAGAGAAAAAAAGGTCAAAAAATTAAGGATTCAAAGCCACTTATGAAAAAATAATGAAATTTAAAATTTAATTGTATATAGAATGATAGAGATTTGTAAAATAATTAGGGATTGAAGAGAAAAAAAAAAGGAGAAATGTCAAAGAGAGGAGAGAAAGTGTAGAGAAGAGCAAAATGGTCCAAAGGAAAGTGATTGTCACATCATGGGCAAGTCTCTAATTATAGATGCCAAATAGGGTACTTTAGCCAATTATCTCTCGTATTATAAAGAGGATAATAATAAATTAAGTCACATCTCTGTTACCTTAAAGAAGTAAGAATCTGGTAATAAATTATCAAATAAATTCCTTCATTTCAGTTGGCACCGTACGAATCGTGTGAATTAAGTCACACTTCCAACTTTACATTATAGTCGGCCTTCTTGTCGCCACAAATAAGTCTCAACCTTCAACTCTTCTCTCCTCTCCTTACGAAGTGTAAACTTTATTTTCTACAAACTGACCTTTTCAAACAACTTCTTTTCTATTGGGTAACCAAAAATAATAAATCATCTATATATACGGCATATATCAATTCAGTATCCAAATCACTAAGAGTCTCTTACATAAACATCAATCCCAACGAATCATCTACTATAAACCCCACTTTGAGAAAAATAATCCAAAACAATGTACTCTTCATCGTCTGTATCAAAATTCGTCATTTTGATCCATGTCTTTGCCATGCAACTTCTCCTTATAAACAGCGAATTGCTCTTAAACACGACCAATGCGTATCTCAATCACAAATGCGTGGTTAGTAAAGGAAAATACAAGCCAGGAAGTGCGTACGAGAAACAGTTAAATTTGACCATCAAAAATTTCTATTCCGACAGTGGCAATAAAGAAGGTTTCACCCTGTTAGGCGGTGATGGTTTTTCCGCAATCCTACAGTGCCGCGGCGACTCCTACGGGCCCAAGTGCCGCGACTGCTATGCCACCGCTGTCGCTGGGGTAATGTCACATAAATATTATTGATTATCTTTTTTTTTTTTTTTTGTAAAATTGATTATCTTTTTTAATTTGTATAAATCTGTGCACAGCGTTTGATACATTTTAACATCACACAAAAAAACTACTTTATTATAGGTTAATTAGTCTCGTGTAATCTCGTTACTAATTATAGCGCCGATATTTAATATGTATATTACAGCTTAGTAGGAGATGTCCGTTGTACAAGGCGAGAATTATATGGTATGACCAATGTCTTGTCTCGTTTGATACCGCATATTCGACTGGGCAGATCGATTACGACAATATTTTTTGTATGTCGAACGCTAAGAAGGTAGGAGAAAGAGATAGACCCGCGTTTATAAGTACTACGAATAATTTCATGGACAATCTGACGATTTTAGCCACCCGTGTTCATAATAATCAAGAATTCGCACCATTGTACGCTGTGGGGAAGACGAGGTTCAAGGGTGATATGTTGTATGGAATGGTGCAATGTACGAAAGACATACCCGATAAAGCTTGTGAGGAGTGTCTGGTGTTTAATAGCATTCATTTTCAAGAATGCTTGACTGCTAAACGAGGAGCGAGATTTATGGGTAGAAGCTGTACTTATAGATTTGAGTTCTACCCTTTTATTGCCAAGCAGATCCAAAATATATAAGGTGTTAAATAAATATTTATTTATTTTTTAATTTTTTCAGTCAACATTTTATGTAACATCAAGTGCAACTCATTTTTTGATGAATGTTTAAAGAATATAACAACAAAATAATGACTGAATAAGAGAATGCTCGTCTATTTTGTTGCTGTATGCTTGAAAAAATGTTTTCTCTCCCTTTTCTCTTTATTGAGAGAAGCCTTTTTTCTTTTGTGCACCGAGAGAAGTCTATTTCTTATGATTTTATCCAATATCTTTTTGGTTCTTTTCTTGTAGTTTTTCATTTTTTATTTTAGATTGAGATATAACTGTAAATGATCCGGGACCGTATATGTCAATATTGAAATATTACCTTGAATCTAGTATTTTGAGATCCATTAGTACTATGATTTCTAATACACAATCATATATATTTTATGTCTTCTCTAAATCTAGGTAGCAGCCGTAGAGAAAACTAGATCTGATCTTCTTATAGACAGATTTCTGTAATTTTCCCATCAATAAAGTACTCTTTTTATCCGTAGATCAAATCATGTTAAATCTTTGTGTCTTTCTTTCCTGTTCATCTATTATGTTAATCTATATCTTCTTACATCCGTTACAACAAACTGGTAACAGAGCTTCGGGTGGAATCTGGTGAAAAGATGTATGGGATGAACATGAAGATCGACAAGTTTACTGGAAGGAACAACTTCAGTCTCTGGCAAATCAAGATGAATGCATTGCTGAAGCAACAAATTCTTTGGCCACCGTTGTCAGGGAAAAAGGTTGAACATGTTACTGCTAAGATAGATGTTACTGAAGAGAAGACGTATTCAACGATTTTTTATGTCTGACAGATGAGATCATCATCGAGGTTTATGGTGTTGATGCTACAGCTGATTTGTGGTCAAAGTTAGAGAGTCTATACATGACGAAGTCTCTAACTAAGAAGCTACTTCTGAAACAACATCTTTTCTCTCTAAGGATGCAAGAAGGTACACAACTTCAGGATCACCTTGATAGTTTAAATTTCATTATGTTAGATCTAATGATTATTGACGTTAAGGTGGAGGATGAGGATGCGGCACTGCAATGATTTTATTGGTGTCGCTGCCTAACTCCTATGAGAACTTTGTTCAGTCATTCATAGACAGTAAGGATACAGTGAGTTTGGAGGAAGTTGGGTCGGCACTTCATAGCAGAGAGTTGTGTCACAAAGCATCAGGTTATGTTATGACCAAGCCTAAAGGTTGTTTGTAGATGGTGGAAAGAACTTTGGAAAAGGCAAGAGGTCGAAAGACAAAAAGTCATTTCCAAGAGGTTCTAAGCCAAATGAAATTTTCAATTATTGCAAAGAAAAGGGGCAACAGAAGTCGGATTGTCCTAAGAAGAAGAAGCAAGCTGGTTCCGCTGTTGTAGCTGAGGATGAAGCTAAGTCTGATAAAGACATAATGTTGGTTGCTCATGGAAAAACACATTTTAGAGATGTGTGGGTCCTAGACACTGGCGCATCCTATCATATGTGTCCAAGGAAGTAATGGTTTTCAGAGTATGAGGAAGTGACTGATGGAAAGATCAAGATGGCGAATGACTTTGCTTGCGATATTGCAAGAATCGGTTCCATTAAGATTAGGTCACGTGAGGGTAGAATCTGTAAATTGACTGGAGTTAGACATTTTATGTCTATGTCCAAGAACTAGATCTCAATTAGTTTTTTAGATAGCAGAGGTTTCAAGTATTTAGGAGGAGATGGAGTTCTGAATGTCTACAGATTCAGTTGTGATTCTGAGAGCTTCATTAATTGTACTCTGTATTTGCTGGACGGTTTCACTGTCTCAGGTTCAGCAAATGCTGCATCTCTAGAGGTTCGCATGGAAGATATGAAAAAGTTGTGACATATGAGGCTTGGACATATAGATGAGCGTGAGATGCAGATTCAATCGAAGCAGGATCTTCTTTGTGGTCATAAGACCAAGAGTCTTGAGTTCTGTGAGCACTGTGTGTTTGGGAAGCTGCATAGGAAGATGTTCCCGAAGGTTGTTCATAAGACAAAAAGCACGCTGGATTACATCCATTCAGATTATTGGGGTCCCTCCAAGGTGGAGTTGCGAAGGGTCACATGTATTTTGTGTCCATGATTGATGATATTCGAGGAAGACTTAGATAACATTCATGAAGCAAAACTGAAAGCTTTCAACAGCTTTAAGGAGTGGAGAATCAAACTGAAAAGAAGATTAAGAGGCTTCGTACTGATAATGTAAAGATGCAGGGATTGCCAGGCATCATACAATCAAATGTACACCATAGCAGAATGGTGTAGTAGAGAGAATGAACCAGACACTACTGGAGAGAGCGAGGTGCATGATGTTTAATGCTGGTTTAGAGTAGAGGTATTGACTGAGGCAGTGAACACGGCTTCTTATTTGATCAATCTGGGACCACATACAGGGATCGAGTGTCGAATACCTAATGAGATGTGGTCAAGCAGGTCTGCTGATTACTATATTCTAAGAGTCTTTGGTTGTACAATTTACTACCATGTTGATGAAGGAAAGCTGGAACCAAGAGCTAAGAGGGAGTAGTTATGGGCTATGGAGATGGTGTCAAGGGATACATAGTATAGTCACCATCTGAGAAACAGGTTGTAATGAGCAAGAATGTGGTGTTTGATGAGAGACCTATGTTCAAAGTTTCATCTGAGTCCATTTCAGAAGCAGAACAAGATGATTTTGACAAGAAGGTGGAGCTGCAGAAGTACAATCGAACGGTCAAGGATCAACCGATCTAGTGTTTAGGATCGATAGATCTACGTCAGACATAGGATCGGGCGATCACAACAGTCGCATCGAGCGATTGATGACCGACAACACGGGATCGATCGATCCTCAAGAAGAGATAGAGCGATCAACGACTGATGAGCATCCTGAGTCTTCTAATACTGGAAATTAACGTGTTGGGTCAGTAAAATGCAGTATTGCTAAAGATGGACCAAGGAGAGTTGATGACAGGCCACCAGAGAGATATCGTTTTGATGATATGGTGGGCTATGCACTACAGGTTGCAGAGGAAGTGGACACTTACGAGCCGTCTACTTACAGAGAATCTATTTCAAGTTATGAGTCTAAGAAATGGTTTTCTTAAATGGGAGATGAAATGAAATCCCATCAGAAGAATCACACATGGGATCTGGTCACACAGCCACATGGGAGAAAGGTTGTGACTTGCAAGTGGATTTATAAGATAAAAGATGGTCAGTCGCCAGAAGAGGGAGTTAAGTATAAATCTCGAGTCGTTCCTAGAGGTTCCAGTCAAAAAGAAGGCATGAACGACAATGAGATCTTCTCACTTGTGGCCAGACACACTTATATCAGAGTGCTATTAGCGATAGTAGCACGTCAAGATCTAGAATTGGAATAACTTGATGTGAAGACTACTTTTCTGCATGGAGAGCTTGAGGAGGAGATCTATACGACTCAGTCTGAGGATTTTATGTTTCCTGGTAAGTAAGATCATGTGTGCAAGTTGAGGAAGTCACTTTATGGACTTAAGCAGTCTCCTAGACAGTGGTACAAGAGGTTTGACAGCTATATGGCCAAGTTGGCTACGACTGGAGTCCTTATGGTTGTTGTGTTTACATGAGCAAGGTGGAGGATGGATCATATTGTTAGGGTATTTTTGTGTACAAGTGATTCGTGTTCAGTTTTACAGAATGATAGGGAGAAGGAGACAACTTGTCGTAGTGCATTCTTCCGCCTTGATAGGTCATGTACCCAAAGGTCTTGCTCTTGGGATTCTGCCACATGGGTATGGTCCAGTATAGGTTATCGGTGTAGCAGCATGGGAGATAATTCGTTGGGAAGGAGCCGCCTGCTAATAGTGGAGATCGCAGCGTCTTCTTAATGATGGATGATGGTCCCGACCCCTGGGTCGGTCCTTGGGTGCCTCCGCACGGAACCATGGAGGGTGTTTGGATATATAATTGCATCCTTCAGTGGAGATTGCCTACGTACTCCTCCGAAGGAGATCAAGCCGTTTGTAGTTCATGTATTAATGGAGGAATGGAGCCTAGATGGGCACGTGGCCTAGTGAGCATGTGGCTTAGTGGGCACATGGCCAAAGGAGCACGTAGCTCCGTAGATAATAGGAGTCATCTGTTCTAGAGGGTGCATAGCCAAAACAGATGGTAGAATGGTCGACATGCTTCAATGAGCAAGGAGCGTCAGTATGCTTCAGTGAGCATGGTGTATTCCTGGTGATAGATAGGAGATCATGGCTTAAGTTATTAAGCAGAGTTGAGGACGTGCTGCATGGAGCATAGAAGTTCATCTGGTTGATAGTAATTGCAGGGATTCAGCTTGTCATAGGCATATCGATGATTATGGTCTTCTAGGTCAATTTCTTGCCTTGGCGGCTGTTGAATTGTGGAGCTCTGTGGATGAACGTCTCCGCCCCCCCCTCTTTAGGTTTAGAAACCTATACTTATAGTGGAAGTTGTGCCTCTTGTTAGGGTTTAGAAATATTTCATATATCTTTAGATAATAAAATATTTCCATTTTTCTCAAGGGTGGCCTATATATGGAATACTTCTTCTTTCTCTTAGATTTAAAGAGATTCCTTCTTCTATAAAGCTGATTACCTGATAAATGGAAGATTTTCGTTTATCTTAAGGCAGGAGAAATCGCACGGATCCAGACCTAGAAACGGAACCTTGGAGCCGGAGGCAGGACCCAGACCTAGGGGCAGAGACCCGGGTCCTAGAGGCAGGGACCCGGAACCTGGAAGCCGGAAGCTGGAGTAATCTCCTCATGGACTATTTTTCCCCAACACATATATCTACCTGGTGTTGTATGTAGATGACATGTTGATAACTGCCAAGAAGATGTGTGATATTCACAAGCTTAAAGAGCTACTGAGTTCTGAGTTTGAGAAGAAGGATTTGGGTGCTGCGAGGAAGATTCTAAATATGGAGATCTTCAGGGATAGGGGGAAGAAGAAGTTGTTCTTGTCACAAAAGACCTACA